GGTGCGTTTCTATCAGTCTTCCTACCATTATGACCAAGTTGCGAAAACAAGGTCAAATAACTTCAATATAAATATGACTATAATAGAATAAAAACAATTTCCGTAACTCATTTAAATTGGTATATAATAGAGATGCCGCCTACTTCTTTGACTATACAACAAACTGTGAACGCATTGTTGTTTGGTCCTGCTGGGAAATGCACCATCTTTGAATCAGTGATAACACTTGGTTGTCCAGCCTCCAGAGCTTCACGCTCCTCCTGCAAGGCTGGCATCAGAGGCACAGTGAGTCCAAAAGCCGGCACTGTTGTGGGTTGTTTGACTGATATCAATTCTGTCTCCTTAATCAAGGCCTTATTCTGCGCCTCTAACACTTTGAGGACGAGCGATTCAACATCTTCCAGATTTTTATGATGACTGAGAAAGGTAATACTGCGCACATTATTGACTTAAGGGGAAAAATTAAAACAAAAAGAAGAAGCATATGTAAAACGAATTAATAACTCTTTGAATTCGGTCTTAGTCAAGTTTTTCTCCCAAAACATAAATACGAAACCATGTTAATCGGGTTAAGTTTAACGATAGAACTGATGCACCTTACTATGAGCTTCAATCTACTCTACCATAAAGAAAGCCTTCATTAGTTACTATCATGAGTATTCACTAAACTTTTGTCAAAGCTGCCTAATATTTGAAGAAAACAGGTGCAGGAATATGGTTTCAGTAATAAAGTCCCTTAATTTCAACGCCTATTATTAAAACCTGAATTTTTAATATAATATGTTAGGCCCTAATACAGTATTTCTGTAATAAAAGGTATGACGATCAAGATGGTGTAACCTTTTGTATGGTTGCGGTCTCTTTTCGTTTTATAGTAGTTGGTTGACCTTGCTTTTACAACTTGGTCGTATTGGCAGGAAGACATAGAGGAACGGACCTAGTCTGGAGTCCATTGTAGACATGATACTTTTCAGAGTCGGACCGTGGACTTGATATATTTCCAGTAGTTTCGCTGGAATCTTCAGCGAGCCTTACCAGACTTATCATCACGTTACAACTCATCAGAGACAAGTAAAATCGATCTCTTGACCAATTGTCTGCTAAAAAGTTGTGGTATCTCTTCTTCTGTGCTACTCACCTATACTATATACTTGTACCATATCTTCATTATCTCAATTTATTAATTCCTTATTTAAATGTAGTATGGTGTGCCCTTTTTGAGTGGATTTCATGAGACCTCTTACATCCAGCACTGGCTTTCTTACCTTACCTCCATACCAATGTGCTGATATTGTTGATCTGAGTCTCCCATATTATTCCGCAATCCTTTTCCCATAAGTTCTATCAGAGTCTCTCTCTCTTACTCCGTAGGATCCGTCTCCTATCACCCTTGTTCAGGTATTCCGTTTGACCCCTGCTATCATAACTGTGCTACTCGAGGCGTTATTTCCCATATTTTGCATCAAGCCTCTGATGACACGTATATTCCCGCCTCGCTGAGTAAGCCGACAGAGTCTGTATTCTCAAGCCGTGTGGAAGACTATCTTGAGGCTATAGATCCCGAGTTATCCTCATCATTAAGCCTTAACTTCATGGACCACGTCTATGTTCAAACATGTCTACTCTTAGCCAACCAGCTCTAGTCTCCGCCGCATATATAATTCTTCTATCTATAATGCCTATGAATTCCTATGCCCTAGTCTCTTGTGTGCCAACCCACAAGTTATGAGGTTCTACTTATTTCGATAACTTTGTCGTTTAGAGAAAATATATAATAAGTTTAAGGGCGCTAAAATAAGTTTACGGGACAACTAAGATAAACGTGATTAAGACATTCAAATCCATATTCATAGCAAACAAGTATCGAGACTGTCAGTATATCATAAATTGGGTGCTAGCCACCTTAAGTCGCATAAGAATGAAAGCATGAATAGGCCTCAAAGTAACATTGAATATCACATAGCCTTGCCTCCCAGAGGTATCTTTATACCGAGTAGACCGAAGTTTTGACCTCGTCTGTAAAGGCAGGTCAGGCCTTTCTCTTATCACATTTATGCAGGGATTGTCGAAGAAAGAAACTTATATCTTGCCATTACAATCGATTACGTTCCTTATAATCATACTAAGTAGATTGCGAGGCAATAAGTACATCTTTAAGAAGAGTTCAAGTCATCCTAGGTCGCATAAGATAGTCATTGACTGATATGTGAATTTCTCCCCGATTATACCAAGTCCTGTATCACCTTATGTAGCCTAAGATGATTATACATTCTAACCGACTTCCAAAGATATGAAGATCACGATGGTGGCCTGTAATATGGTCGCGGTCTCCTTTCGTTGTATAGATGTTGTTAGACCGTGTGTCCACAAATTTTTAATATTGGAAAGAAGATCTAGAGGAGCGTATCTTGTCCGGAGTCCATAGTATGCATGATAATTTCCAGAGTCGAACTATGGACTTGGTACATTCATAGACATTTCGCCGGCGTCGTAGTCAGCATCGTCAGTTAGCCTTTCCATTCTTAGCATCGCACTACAACTCGTCAAAAGATACAAGTGGAGCCGATCATTTGACCTAATGTGTGCTAAACGGTTGTAGTATTTCTCCTGTAGTATTTCACCTATCCTATATCTTTATATCCCTCCTTCAATATCAAAATTTATCACGTTCATCTAAACCTAGTTAATACCTCTTCACACTCTTGGCTGGCTCCCACATCCCCACCTGTGCTGAGAGTGCTGAGCTACGGTTGCTATTAAGTTGGGAATCCTCTTCTTCTATACGGTCCGTCTCTTATCTGCCAGGTTAGGTGATTTCACTCAATCACTGCTACCATATTCCCACTACTCAAAGCGTTATATTCTACACTCTTTCTTAAGCCTTTGATAGCACGTATACACCGGCCTACCTATTGATAAAATAACGATAGTTTACCTAAAATTTAGCTTGATTAACCATGCGCGCCAACTTAGTCCGTATTCCGTTCACAGATGCGTACATTCAACCCAAACTATGAAGACAGACAACTGAAAATGCCAGGAAAATGAGTCTTACACTTTAAGGCATGCTTCAGGAGATTTGTTGTCTTAATATTCATTTCCAAATTCCGAGCTTCCTTCGCCGGGTTCCCAGGAAGGAGCCACATATCACGGAGAATATTAATATCTAAAAGAGAGACATTTGTTGCATTTACAGTAATGTGTATGTCACAAATGGAGTATTGTTAATATTTAAAGTAAATTATAGTAGTCCAGTATTAGAAACGTATAATAGCCGATTATGGTTAACTCACTGTAAAAATAGAATGAGAATAAGGACCAGTACAAAATACGCTAGGGAAAATGCCTATTGAAGACCAGGCGAAAAATTGTCGTGGAAATAACTAGAAAAGTGAATTAGAAGACAAATATTAAACTAAACCAACCGTCACTCTCGGCCTCAAGATAATCGATAGGGTTGATAACACCACTTCTGTTGTCCGTGGCCTCCAGGAAGATGTGCCTAATCTGTCGATTTTTTTCATTGCCTGGCTCAACCAGGTAAAACTCTTCAGAAGATGCCCGGGTGACTGTTAAAATAAAAAGAAGAAAAGTTTGTTGAAACCAAGTTTAGAACATAACGTATTCCCCCATAAGCCTGATTAAGGTAAAAAGGATGAGTAAGTTTCTAATCTATCTATAGAGCTTAAATAAGAAATTTGACTTGAAAACCACATCTGCCTTGTGACCCATTTACACTTGTGTCTATGTGGTGGAGTCGCAACTTTGCAGATTGACGTCAATCAAACAGCTTCGAATTTGCTGATGAAACCCAGGCGAGATCGAAAGTACAATAAATTCCTGATAAGAAGGCCCTTGTGAAGGCAAAGCTGAGTGAAATTCCCTGACATCATGAGGCTACCTACTCAATTCATTATGGAAAATTCAATATCAATCATTACATTACGTTAAGCGAATCAAGCTGACAAGGGTTGGGATGAAAGAAGGCAGACAACAGGTTAGGTCTTTCTATATCCTTTATATTCCCCTTTCCACCCTTTTTCCCCAAAACATAATTAATTTATCTCACCTTTAGAGCCCATCTTAGTCGCCAACTTGTTGTCTTCATCTTCCCGAATCGTGCGAATAATGCGAATTGTCGGAACTGGCAGAACCATAGGAAACTTGTTACCCAGCAAGCCCTCCATGTGAATGGCTGATAGTAGATTGGTTGTGTTGACAAACATGATTTCCTCTCCTCCACCTGCCATGGCAAGTGTACAGTGTAGTGCGAAGCAATTACTCTTGTCCTGTTGCCAATAAAACAAAAGAACAATAAGATAACTCAGCCCGTTTGGGGTTCGAATATGGCATCCCTGAATAATATCACTTTAATTACCTTACCTTAAAATCTCATCAGTCAGGAGGTAAGAAACTTTGTTATTATTCTGTTCATCGCACTAGCCAACTAGCTCTAGTCTCCGCCGCATCTATCGTGTTTCTATCCCTATTGCCATGTCTATGACTTCCTATGCCCTAGTCTCTTGTGTGCCAACCCACAAATTCTGTGGTTCTACTTGTTTTGATTAGGTTCAATGTAGAGCCACAGCATTTATGGACTGGGACAAATATTATATTACACTATGCTATGACATCTTGCCAAATTTGTCCTGAAATATTTTGTCCTCTAGCCTGGTAAATAATGATAAAATAGGATTTTCAGAAAGAATTCTTCGGTAAATGCAAATCAAAAGTTCAAATACTGATAAAACCGCTTAATCCATACCCATAAGAAAGAGCCCAAATTACCATGATTATTCTTTCCACTAAAATAAGCTTAAGTTGCTGACAGTGGGTGTCCTCTTTTTTAACATGAGTAGATCGAAAAATTAGTCAATAATGTTCTGAATAGTTTATGACTGGCCTTAGTATGGTACCGTCATACGCGCTATCTTATATGCTCTACCTTTATGGAATGGAAAATACTACATTAACCAATTGGTGGTGCAATCGAACCTACCACCACTATGCATGTTTGATGCTTGAGCAGTAAATACCTGTCTGTTCTTGTATTTCTCAGGCTGTGGTGAAAGTTTTCGCAAAATCTTCACAATTATGAGTGAAATATAGCTTTAATAGTTCTATACTATAAAGGATGAGTTAAGCAATATTCGTAAGGCTAAATAAGGATAATTAAAGTTGTGGTGTTATAAGCTAGCCCTGCGACTTTTGCATGCAAGTTTCCTAAATAAAAATTCCTAGTGATAATTCTAGGAATTGTGCTTTGTCAATTTTAAATAGTTCAGGCTAACCTCCTCGGCTCCTCTTTTAAATAAGTTCCGATCCTGGAACGCACTGATATTTATTATTATTATTATTATTATTAACAAATTTAAGAAACAGTGAAGTGAATACCTTCCACCCACCTTTTAAAGTTAAATGAAAGGTACGCCAGTATCAACCTACTAAGGGATTCCTCGAAGCCCAACTTCTCTTTATATCTGAGTCCAACTTTTGACCAACTTTCTGAGACAAAAGCAGAAGCCATAACATCTTGGTCTTTATGTCTAAGATTAGTCATCTTCTGTATAGTAACCACAGGCTATCCTATTCGCTTTGATTATTTAGAATGCCACTTACCTTAATTGGTTAAATAGTTTATTGCATTTCGCATGTGGATGTTTCTCGGTCTAAATGTTGGGTCAACTCTTGAACTTAGTCGGTCAAATAACAATGTGAATAGCCAAAGCGAATTTATAAAAAAATTACAGAAATGACCCCTATTTTATCGAGCACAAATTTAAGCCCATACTATGACTTGTTTTCATAAGTGTGCAAGACTCCTCGGGTATGTCTTTGTATTTATAAACCAAAAAATATATTCTTTAAAGGCAGCAGAAAGGTAAGAGTATCGTAATCAAGGAGGATAATGTGAGCAAGAAAGCATATGGTCAATGTGGTGTACAAACATGGAGGTGACACTATGATATTGTGAGAAGCTATGACCTTGAGCCTCGAATATGGAAAACGAGTACCCTCAATTATGAGCCAGTCATGAGGTTGGAAATTTAAATCACAATTTCTCGCATCCTTTAACGTTTACCAGTAAAAGTGGCGATGAGTTAGGCTAAACTAATTATTTTTTATCGTACAATGTTCTGAAAAATGAGGCTATGCAACGAAAGTTATAAAGAATGGGAAGAAAGCGGTGAGTAGCCAAAATAGAGAAACATTTTGAGATATTTTCCAAAAACATCTCATCAGTATAAATAGACATGATGCATTCTTTTGATTTTTAATATATTTAGGGCTATATGAAAATTCCGTATTTATACACAGGATTAGTCAAAACAAATGGATTAGAGGAGCCTTCTGCCGGTCCTCAAGGTTATTATAAAAGTCGTTAACCCCATTTATCATTGGATTGTGCGAGAAAGAGTAATTTTAGTTCTTTTTGCTCATAGGGAAGACTAATTGGTAGGAACTCTATTGAATCTGCACTTTTAAACAGTGCCTATGAATTGCGATCTCATTGATTCTGGTACTTCGTAATTGCGAATTAGAGCACCAGTATATCTAAGGATTCTACATCTCTCAACATTTCTAATAGGAATCAATCAAGGCTGTATTTCAGAAAAAAGGTCCTTTTAGTATAGTATTATCAATAAGCTCACTCTCAGCTTCAAAAAGTCTTTTTATTATAATGAAATATAAATTCAATTTTGTTGCAAAGCCTATTCTTCTATCAGTCATGAAATCACATGTATGGTATTAAAAATAATTATCTTGCCTGAACTACTAGGTTTTTCTGATCTACTATTTCAGATTCAAAAATCATCTGTCTGTCGGCAGAGTTGAAAACAAAAGAGTCCGGACAATGTTTGTCAGAGCAGTATTCCATTGGAGATGGAGTCTTTCCAATCACAACGCGTCGAAACCCCATATTGTTTAGCCAGCCTGTCACAATGTCCTGTCTGTGAGGCAAAGGGTTTTACAAATTAAAAATTGTATATTATTAATACTCTTACACCTTTGCAGAGCGATTACCAAATCCATTCAAATGTGTCTGATGAGTATCTTACATATGATAGGGGAAATCGTAATACAAAATCTACGAAGGTAAGGAATTAATTATCATCGCATGGAGTCTAGCATGTAATCATACCAAACTAGCAAGAGATTCCTCGAGACCCAAGTGTCTATGTGCTTTCTGGCATACTCTAAAATAAGACACTGAATAAAAACCGAAAGGAAGTTTATGTCGGATGAGAAAAGCCCAATAAAAAAACAAGATATGATACAAATTTATTTTCAACAACATTTCTGTTAGCTCTTAGTCAGTTCAACCCTGTGTCAATAAAACAGGGCTTTAACAGCAATAGACACTACCTTTAAATGAGAACCCCTTAGTGTGTTTAGTGATTAAAGGTTGAAACTGTAGTCCAATGAGGATGATAAACAACTCTTCCGATACAGAGACTAGACAAATTCTACAGCAAAATCAATAAAAAGTTCAACAAAGAAAACTCACTTGCCGACCAGCTGGTTGTACCAACCATAGAAAGGCATTTCCTCGGAGTACAACTCAGCTTGCCTCCATTCCTCGGGCAGGAGAAGGCGAAGAGAGCCAACTTGCTGACGAACACGGATTCGAGCTACTGAAGCGGCAATTTGGACACGCATGCCATGAATACTCTCTTCAACGGCCTGATGGAAAAATGCAAACCGCAAATAAGCCTAATAATGGCATAAGAAAAAGAAACCCCTGTGAAGGGGAAATTTATCGAAATTACTGTAGACTGCGATCTCTAGATATCGAGAACCACTTTCAGATACAGAGGCTAGTCACCGGACAGATGCCTGAAGTTGTAGACTGAAGATATAAGCAGACTATAGACCTAATTCTGGGCCAGTAAAATATAATTGCAATAGGAAATTTCTACCAAATCCAAGTGATACATTTATATGCATGATACAAATATAAAGAATATTATCTATTTAGCATCCTGAAATAAAAAAATAAGCAATTTAATCCATTCAGAAAAAAAGTATGAAAATGTGATACATACAAGAAATACTTCCGTTCCAGAGGGGCAGAGAATAACACGTCCGGAATTCGTTAGAATATAAGTTAAGGAGGGTTGAGGCAGCTCTCTATCATTGGGCAACTGCGCCCGTTTCTGGTAGTTTCTCATAATATAGTCGTAGATTATGGCAAGCACAAGGCAATCTTCATCTTTCATATCCGGCCACAGAGAATAGTAGCTGACATCCTCAAGAATTTTCTCTATAATGTCGACATCTAAAAAATAATGTAGGGTGTACATACATTCTGTGGAATATATATATATATAATAGCCCAAAATGATGTAATATCAAGACTTATTATAAACCTATTGCACGTGTGAATTATCGCCTGAAAAAATAAAACTCTTTCGTTAGCAGTATAAGGGTCAAAATCAGAGGTTACGTAATTATTAAGACGGAATTGAGAAGAATTAGTACCAGGGATTAAATTTGTATCGTAAATTAATCACGGTCCCGTAATCATGTTAAAGTAGCTAGATTTTATACAGTTTTGGAACGGACAGAATGCATAAGTAAGCAAATGAGAAGATTTGCTGGATATATACGACTTTACGGAATATAAGTCGGTTATATAACCTTATTTCCAATACAGAATCATTAGTAAAGGTAAATTTATGGGGCGAAAGATTATATTCATGCTGCTGGCAAAGGTTAGTAGGATAAGAGGTAACATTAAGTAGATTTTCAATAATTCGTCTGAGGAAACCTTGTAGATTCGAAGTGTACCTGGGTTTCGATGAATTTCCGAAAATAAAAATGTTGGGGAGACTTTTATTTCGTACAAAATTGCATTAAGAAAGGCTTCGAAGGTGACGGCTAATTCTCATTATAATACAGCCGTTTGGCTTTAACACGACGTTCTAGTTAGCGCAGTCCATGAGAGATCCTCCCTCAATTCAGGTGAAAACGGACTGAGAATTCGTCCATAATATGATGGCCTTCATCAGAGCTGGAACTCATTTTTGCAGAAGTCTCAAGTGTGAGACCTAATGTTAACGTTAGACTTCTATAAGAGTGAGTTGAAGCTCTGATGATTTCCATGATATGATGAACGAAAGCCCAGCCTGTTTTCACCTGAATCGAAGGAGGATGTCTCGTGGACTGCGTCAACCTGAGCGTCGTATTAAAGCCAAACGGCTGCAGGACAACAGCATTCAGCCTTTGTCTTCTGGTGTGATCGACCATCGAATCTCTTCCTCATGCACAATTATGCAAAATGAAAGTCTCCCCATAATGGGATAACCTTTTCGTAGCAAATTTCATTTCGTGTAAAAGTGTCTAATTAAGAGGTGCGTAGGTCGATCACATCAGAAGACCACGGCTTATTTCGGTTGCTCTGCAGTCGTTTTATTTGACTTCAAGTTTTTTTCAACAAACATAAGAACTTGCCAGACTTTACTTTGGGTGAATAATTAAACTAAGAAACTTGAGTTAAGCTTTATGGAGGAGGTGATACTAACGCCAAAACTGTTTATTAAATATATGAACGGCTAATTTTCATTTGTATAGACTATCAAAAGACGTTTTTCGAGGAATCCCTTAAGAAGTTAAAATTACTCAACTTTTCACTTCGAAAAAAATGTTGTTTGACCCTGTTTATTTTGGTGACACAATTGTTCTATCAATAGATTAACTAAGTTAGTCATTGAAGATATGAAGACCAAGATGTTGTGGCCTCTGATATGGTCGCAATCTCCTATCGATTTGAAGAAGTGGGTTGACCTCGTTGTTGCAACTTAGTCTTGTTGTCAGGGTGACTTAGCAGAACGCACTTAGTCCGAAGTCATCTGCCATAGTAGTTGTCATGATTCCCAGCATCAGACAGTCGACTTGGTACATTCTCAAACGTTTTGTTAACGATAGCTTTGCCTAATGCCTAAGCAAACTCTGGGAAAACAAGAATGGAGCAAGAGCAGCGAAAAGGAGACGCCTGGATCAAGGATTTACCGCTAACAGGAGGAAAAGGGATCGAGAGAAAGAAAGTGGGGGGAAGTGGTTTTCGGCAATATAGCGAAGACGCTGTCATTGAGTGATGTCCATTTAGAATAAATCAGTTCAACTTTGCGGGCCTGTCAGTTAGGGAGCTGGGTAGACTGATAAGCAAACCGTCACTGAAATTCGGCGTTATGCCCAAAATGCAATAG